TATTCACAGTACAATACAGAGATCTATCAGATGGTAGACCGATACGACGTTTCCGATGAAGGGAGCATAATGGTCAGCTACGGTGTTAGATATATTTATAAGCATTCCTATTAACCGCTTCTTCCTCCTATTTCTGTAGAAGTCGTCTCCAGCACAAGGGTAACGAAGATCGACCGTAAAGTCACGAAGCAGACGGAAAAAGACATGAAGAAACGAAGAGAAATGAAGACAGCAACAGATCAGAAATCAATAATCAAATATATGCAACTCTGTAAAGCTTTAAGGAAAAGCAAAAAAGGTGTCCGATTATTCAACTGGATAGTGGTAAATAAAACTGCTGAAAACGGCTGAAGCGCCAAGAAATTAAATCAAAACGGAAGGCGGGATCGTCATCAGGGATAAAGAACAGATTCTAAAACGACTGGAAAATTTCTGTACAAAGCTTTGAAAAAATGAAAACAGGATCAATAAAGGTGACAATAAAGAAACCAAAGTTGCAAATAAACGTGACGAAATTCCAGTTATCTTGCTAGAAGAAGAGTTACATCCAGTAAAACAGGTCAAAAGGAGAAAGGGGTCTTGATGAAAACAGCATTACAGTTGAACCCGTGGAAACTACCGCTGAAGCACCGAGCAAGATATTAGAGTGACTGTTTTCACGCTATCTGAAGAAACTGTAAATTTTAGATGACTAGGGTACCGTATCCGTGATTATTCTTCAGAGAAGGAAAGCCTGAAAGGAATTAAAGAACTACAGACTAACCAACTGGTTACCAATCAACTAGAGAAACCTAACGAAGGTACTGATGAATAGACTTCTATAAAATCAAGACGTCAAAGGAAAAAACAGGATTCAGAACTGGATTGTGTACGATGTATCTTTTCCAGAAAATACAGCAACTAATTCAGACAAGCAACGAATATCCGCCCCCTCCCCCTGCTTGGAGTTCGTCGATTTAAAGAAGGCCTTCCACTCAGTCTATGTTCGTTTTGTAGTGGATTCCTCGAGAAGTAGGGGGGAACCACGAAAACCTTATGGCGAGATTTACAAGAATGCAACTGTTAATGTAAAGTTTTGCGTTACGAAAGCACAACTTGAAAAAAACCGTAAAGAGCGTTTGACAGGAAGATTTAACATCAGGATGAAGTGATTCACAGCAGCCCTAAAAGAGGTTACAAGACACTCCGTTAAAAAACAAATTCTGAAAATACCTAAGGACATTCGGAAACTACCTAAGCCACCTAAGACTTAAAATGAACTTGAAAAAGATTCAGGTCATGTTTAACAAATGTGACCTCGGTACCTGTACATAAAAATTAACCTAGACTTGAAGAAATATATAACTATCTATCTGGGACAGCTCATTTCTGCAACAGAGAAAAGACTACGTGAAATAAACAGAAGAATAAAAAGGGCAAGGAGGACTTTTGGAAGGCTGAAAAAGTTCTTATCTGAGAAACTGTCGTTGTGATTGAAACGAAAATTATTCGATCAGTGAATGTTCCCAATGCCAATACATAGGTGCGAAACGTGGAACCGAAGCCTGAATGCTATTCATAAACTTCAAACTACGCTATGCAGCAAGGAAAGATCCATGTTGGAAATAACAATAAAAGACAGGATGATGAATGAATAGAAAAGATAAGCGGACAGTAACAGTTTCGGATATTATTTCCCAAGTGAAGCAGTCAAAATTACAGGGGTCAAGATCA